TAATAACATAAATTTAATATCATAATACCATCAAAATACAACTAATATTACCACCTTAGTAACACCAAATCAAAACCAAAATACAAATGAAATATCACTATAATAACACCAAATTAGCACATAAAAATAATCAATTTACTCTCAATATACCTCTATGGAATCACTAATTCAAACACAGAAAAACACTATATTATCAAGCAAATTACCACTTTAATAATACCAATTGAAAAACATAATATCATTAGGATAACACTATAATTGCACTAATTCAAGACCAGAATAACCCCAATTTACCATCATTATATATCATATTAACACCACTTTAATACCACAATACCACCATAGTACAACCTAATTACAACCTTAATAACACTAAATCAAAATCTTAATACAACTGAGATACCACCATAATAACACTAAATTAACACATAAATACAACCAATTTACCCTCAAAACTACTTCATGAAAATACTAATTCAACAATAGAATAATGTCATATTACCACAATAATAACACCAAAAGTATATAAGTAAAACTTCAGAAAACTAATATAATAACACCCACTAAGCAACACTTAATAATCAGGATATCAGAAAAATAACCCCATAACACTTCCAAATTATCATCATAATACCATCAAATTATTTATATATTAACACCACATTACCACCTTAATAACACCAACTTAACAGTAGGATACTACTAAATTTCCTCAAATATACCACAACATTACCTAATAAAACCAATTAACATCATAATAAAACTAAATATGGATGTATTATGCTACATTTCTAGTGGTAATCTAGTGGAATTGTGCTTATTTTTAGGTAGCATTCTGATACTAATGTGGTAATGTAGGGTTATTAATGTGATAGTGCAGTGGTTTTATGTTGGTTTTATGGTGGTATTGTACTGGTTGTGTTTGTGATGAACCTTACAAGATAAAATATTTTCTCTTCCAGTACTAAATCATCAATACATATGGTTCAGTTAGAATTCAAGCTTTTCATTGAGCATATGAGGTAAATGGACATGAAGCAATACATATCTCGGTTACATACAGTTTAAATCCCAAAGAATAAAATGTTGAAAAACAACTACAACAACACTTCTTTCTGATTTACTTCGATGTTCTCTATGTAATTTTTCACTTTTTGATTTCATTTGTTTCTTCCATCCTTCTAGATTTAGATTTCTTGAAAACCCAAAAGAAAAAAATTAATGAGTTCGCACATCGTAAATCTTGACTGAATCGGAGTTTCAAAAAAACTAATACCTCACTTGAACAACTTACATGGCGAGAGAGAGAGAGAGAGAGAGAGAGAGAGAGAGAGAGAGAGAGAGAGAGAGAGAGAGAGAGAGAGAGCAAGAACAATGTTTTATCTGGCGATCGACAACACATTGGATCGGCAGAACCTTAGACTCCAATTGTTTCGGTGAGCGATAGACAACAACTCTAGCCGGAAGAGTAAAAGGAAAAAATTGTTGGAGGAGCGCGCCTGAACAAGCAAAAAAAGGGCAACGGGTGGGCCGTTTTCGAGCCGAGGTTAGCCACCACCAAATATCTATTTTTTTTTTCACTTTTCTTTATAATGCCTTATCTGGCACTAGTGTGTCTCGACGCTTATAAATGACACAATTTTATTATAGTCCGGACGCAGTTCATGCAATAATTTCTTCTTTTAATGAGTGTTACGAGGGCAACCAAAGGTTTAATTGATGCCTCTTTTTAGAACTTATAAAAAAAGTCTTTATAAATCATTACAACTAGGAATCATATGCTTTAAGGAAAAAAAGGGTATAAATAAAATTAATTTTTAAATACTTGGAAAAGAAGCATATTTCTCAAATAAAATTAAATTATATATATATTTTTTAAATCTGATTAGTCCACCTAATAAAATGGACCATCTGTTAATTTTATTACGTCTGTAACAATACCTAGTTTTGAAATTTTTCATTAATTTAAATAGAGCAATGGTTGATGGTTGGAGAGCTTCGTCGCCTCAGCATCATTCAGAGCCCAAACACAGTGATAACTAATGACCGGTAAAATCATAATGTTTGGTTTGTTTTTTTCGGAGACCCTTATTACATTTATAAGAAATTATAATTATTACAAAAAAGAAATTATGCACCTTGATTCTATTTGGTCGGCTCAATTCCGATAAGTTAGTTTCTGGGTCTATTGATGCCTAATTGATGGACATATGGCGGGTTGCGATTTTGTTGGCCAGCCTTTGATCTGGAGGCCTCAAGGGCAGTTGACCTTTGGGTAATTGATCGGCCTCTTGACTGACCAACTATCATCAATCAATATCCCTTACATTTTGGCATCCGTATTGTGCAATTGTGACATCTCATCTTTTGATATGTACTTTAATCCGAATCATTAGATCTACAGAAAATTCAATCCTTAGTATTTTTATTGCGCAATGTTATACTTTTTTAACTAATGAAATAAAAAAAAACTAATTTTTGAAGCTCATTTGGTAGTTTTAAAATAATAAAAAAAATGTTTTAGAAAATAACAATTTTATTTTCAATTATTTTACTTGTGAACATAAAATCATCATTTTTTTTAAATTAATATATATATATATATATATTAAATTGAATGGTCAGAGGCTATTAGAGGAGCCCCAACGATCCCTAGTTGTGCTAAGTATTCGAGTACCACAGTCTATACATGGAAGGATTCGAACCAATGACCTGAGGGGACTTACGACCTTCAGAGAGGCTGCTCTATCAACAATCCACGGAACGCGTACAATATATATA